GCCTTAGACGTACCCAAATGTCATAAATAATGGCACCTGGGCAAATGGAACCAAAGACCAAAGCCTGCGGTTTGCCCTAGCTCTCTCATTTTGAGCCACACGTCCACGAGTCCCGAGTCGGAAAAAGTCCGAGGCACACAATTTACGCAGATCGCCAACATGGGGGCAGAAGCTGTCCGCGTGCAAGAGATCTGGGACGCCTTGGTGCACATCGAAGCCACCGATGCCAAGAAGCACCAGCGCCCTGATCGAAGCCTTAGAGCCCGCCCTTTGTCCCTTGAAATCTGGGATCTGATTTGAGCAACAATCAAAACCCGGGATGCAGGTTAGATCAGTAATTAAGGGATAATCCCAACCATAAATGGTTGCAGCCGCCTTGGTTCTTATTTACATGGTTCTGGGTAGACTATTTTAATACTGGTTTTGATTATGACTTATTTATTGGTTGCTAGTTTTTAAGGTTGGGCAGATATCAAACAGAGCCAGAAAGCCATGTGTTCTGTTGCAATTACCCCAGGGTTGGGTCAAGTTTTGTCTGGGTTTTCTGACTAAACAACTAAACATGCTTAACTCCGAGAGGGTTCCCTTTTGCCACCAGGGTTACTGGGCAACCGGGGCGCGAGTGGAGGGGGGAGGTGAGTTGGGGTGTTGTTCATGTGATGCTTGTGAATGTGCGGGTGTGTCTCAAAGTAGGGGGACGCTCAAAATGGGTGTCTGGGACATAGTAGAGCGTGATGAGTCCACAGCATTTGGGCAAGCTAATAACTGCGCAAGAGTCCAAGGACCACAAGCACGACAGCCGTTTATGCTTGCGGATAGTTTGGTTGTGTAGCTTCAGCCTGCCACTCATATGATGCACACTCAGCTGGGTTTATAACCGAAGGCGGCCTACGACCATTGTGTCAGATACCAGGGGCCTGTGAGTGGGTTCTTCGGGACCCAGAAAAGAAAGCGACGGCCGAAAGGGCGACTGCCGAAAGAATCTGTAGAAACTTCAGCTCTGGGAAAGAGAGTTCCGGGGTGCCGGCCGCAAAACGGTGTTCAGAAATGCTTCGCGGGTGGTTGTGCTTTTGGGCACACCCGACTGCTAAACAGTCCGTATACGCTTTTTTTGTTAATGCACGGTTGCTTTTTGCTGATTGATTGCGTACTGAGAACAGTTGCAGTCGGAGACTTCGATGCTTCGAGGTTCGGGACTGGTCCCCTTTCGTGTCGACTGCAAGTTCACTTGCTGGAGTCCGTTCCCCCAGACGCACGAAAAGCGTCCGGCGGTTGGACCTCCAAAAGTCAACTAGGTTTACCGGTAGTGCCCTTTTATATACCCTTTTTTTGGGGAGTCTTCTACGTACTAACTACAGAAAAAAAAAGGTACCCTTATTCTAACCTCTCTACTGGAGGACTTAGTCAATGACCAGTCTAATGGCGATGAACCAATGACAACTCGAATCACTGGATCCCAGGAAGGCCATAGGCGACTTAACCAGCCAATTTCCTTGATTGGGGTTCACGACGCGGTTCCCTTGAATCAGTACACCACGGAGTGGAGGGAAATGGCTATGGGTCAAAACTCCGTACCCCCAGTGAACATCCCAATCGCCACTAAAATAGACTAACATGGGCGGTGCACCTACCCCAACATGGTACCATTGGTGTTGTCCCACGGCCAAATGAAATCACTACCAAAGGGGGTATGTTTGTTTGTTACACTGAGGCCATCGTCTTCAGAGAGCGATAGTGGAGCAAGCACCTCTATCGATGACCTTGAGAACGCGGATGTCATCTCTGACGACGACACCGCCGAGGAGACCAAGGTTTGCTGATTTGTCTAGCGTTTATTGGCCTTGAGCAAACCGATACCCAAACTTAGCCGGTTCTTCTGCATTGATGCTCCCTCAAGCCTTGAAGAAGCTAATGGGGGAAGTGGCATACTGTATCATGCTGTTTTGGTGTCTGCGATCGGCATCCCTTAGCAACTCCGTCAAAAGCATCCGAATTAGCCAAAGGGACGATCTAGATTCCTTCAAGTGATTCCGGCAAACCGGCAATCTGTGGATCCCAGTTACCTCTCTTTGGTCGCCTGCTAGAATGGAATGGAAATCACTGGAAAGAGTAAGTAGCCAAAGGCTTGCTTGCTTATAGTTGTTTGCCTTGCGGAATGAGTCGCTAAGCTTGCTGTTGAACCTTCAGGCGTTCTTGAGTTGGCAGCCTTGGGTTTAAAAGGAATCCAAAGTGGTCCCGTATTGTAAAGCACACCCCCGCAAAAACAAACATGGAGCCTGCAACAGAGGGCCCCTTAAAAGGAACATGGTTGTGCCAAAAGGAAGATGGTTGCCCGGGAACCCTTGTGGAGGCATGCTTGTGTTTAGGAACGTATAGATTCAGTCAAGATTTGGATGGATTTCAACCACCTTTTGGTTTTGGTGTGAAAGTTCAGCAAAGGGAATCCTCAAAAAAACCTGATTTGGGGATTAAACGTCGTTAATGGCAACCAACTGGGTCCTTTAGCCTGGAACAAATGGGTTTTCTGAGATACGGTCCCTTTTTGGGCTGGTTTAAGAGGAAACCTAAATGAGCGTCCAACACCTCCATCTACATGCTTAGTAAGAGTCCGGTCACAACCTGTTTTGCAAGCAACACCGCCCCATACGCGTAAGGTGGCGTAAGCTGGTGGCGGAAGCAACATGTTATGATGAAATGATACCACGTGCCAAAACGTGGACGAAACTCCCGTTCCGTAGCCCGTTGAGTGGTTCAACCCGTTTCCCAGAGCACTGCCAAAAACCTTTTCCCGAACTGCTGAAAGCCAAGGGGTGTTTTTGGGGTGGTTTCGGCAGCTTTCAGGGAGTTCAGCTCGGGTTTTGGTTTTCGGAAGCCGGCCATTGATCTTGCACTGAAATCCAGCAACGCTTCGTTGCCTTTCGGTTTCCTTTCAAAACAAAGAAGGCTACTCTCGACAATCGACTCCAGTTTCGAGCTGAAGCCAAAGCTAAAGCTGACCGCTCAACTGACTCTCACCAGGTCTCCCACCTGAAGTCCTTCTAGCGATCTCCAGCCCTCCCACATCCTTCCCCCCACAATGAAGAGGCACCAAAGGAACAATAGATGACCGGCCGTTCCTGGGGAAGGCCACCTGCGGCTCCCTCACCCGACAAATCCAAGGTGGCACGCTCCGCTTTCGCCGAAGTACCAGGTGCTACAGGCTTCCAAATGCCTGGCTCCTGCTTCTCTTTTTTTAGTTGGAAAGTCCCATTTCCAGGACTCGTTTTGTGTTTTTAACGGGAAGCCACAAGGACAACGGAAAGCCTGGAAGCCGATTTTTGGATCTCCCCTTGCTGGGACTCGTTTTAGTTTCAACGGGAAGCCATTGTTAGTAATTCTTCAATAAAGCGCTGGGGGTCTAAGATTGAACCCTGGCAATACTACGTGCCCTAAGGCTCCCGATGCTTTTTGGGCAAATCCTCAAAATGGGTTGTTTTCAAGGGCCCCTGAGGAATTGGTCCGGGTTCTTCATTGGAGGGCCCGGGGCCCATTGGAGGGGTCATGAGCCTAAGGGTGCTGGACGTCCGCCAGGTTACCACTTTGGTAATTACCACTTTGGTAAAAAAAACATGCCAAGGGATGTTACTTGAACTTTTCGCCAACAAATGATTTTTCCATCAAACCACTAGTGAACATTTTTTAGCAGGGGAGCAGAAAGCACGCCCAGTAGTGCCCTTTTACTTTTTTTTTTTTTTTTCTCGGGGGAGAGTTCCCCTACTAAAATAGACTACAGGAAAAAGTTGCTACCAACTTATTCTAACTTCTCAAATCTGGAGGACCTAAACTGCGTGCTAGAAGGCAACCGAGACAACTTGAAGGCAACCGAGAATTGGTGGGGGTTCTTTTTGGTGTCCCTCTAAAACCACCAAAAAATGGGTACCCTCAAAAAGAGGACACCCGATTCTCTGCGCTTCGTGTTGCCGTTTTGGGTGAGTCCACGTACTCCAGACATGCACTTGTTCGGGGAGATCACCGGTAGCGAAACGGGAATGACCCTTTGGCTTTGCTGCTATCAGCCATTGTTGGAAGATTACTGTGGCCAACTTCCTGAGTTCCTGGACCTTTTGGGAAGGCCATTTGGGTGTGGGTCTCAAATAGGTACACAAAATAGAACCCTGGTAAATGGAACAAGGATACAATCTGTGGTCCTCTGGTGGTTCAATTTTGACCCATACCCACTAAAAGTGGCAAGCACATAGTTTCTTGCTGGCTCCCAGCCATCCGGTTCCTTCGCCTTTCAGCCTTTTGGTCTGTGGAGGTTTCCGTATTCCCACTAAAACACGTGAGTCGAACCTTGTATCGCGGAGCAGAAAACGGGCCCAGGTTTGGGGACTCCTTCCTTTTGACCCAACTCGATCCATAAGGCGCGCGCTTACCTCTTAAAACACACAACTTATATGTCAGGGCTCCTTAAAAGATACATTTTGCCCATTTGAAACATGGCTTTTTCCACCAAAATAAAAGGACACCACCATTTACAAGGCAATGTTCAGGTGTATAATGTAAGGACCCCTGTATGTCTGTAAAAGATTAACTACCCAGTTTTAAGGGGTAAGCACTTCTCCGAGCTCCGCGCTCCGAGCGAGCGATCGAGGAGTTGGACCTCCGCGACCTGGAGCCCTCCCTGACGGAGGTGAGGCTGAAGCTCCAGGGGGCGACTCGAAGGCCAACAAAAAACGCTCGAAGCGACCGTTTGTTTCCTCTTCTTTTTTCCCCCCGTTTTTTTTTGTTGTTTTTTTTTTGGGGGGGGGGGTCTGTTTGTTTGTTTGTTTTATTTTGTTTGTTTGTTTTGGGGGGGGTTCCCACTTTTCAGGTCTTCTTGGGTGTTTCTTCTTTTTTGGGGGGGTTGTTTGGGTTCCCATTTTTTCCGATTTGCCAAGAGGTGATCCGCTGTTGTGGTTCCAGGGGACACCTCGCCATGCTTTCCAGATGGATCCGTTTTTCTTTCCAGAAACCATCAGAACCCCGGGGGGACCGGATCCGGTTTTTGAAGACGAGGGTTGAAAGGAATGGGAAATGAAGCCTTAGAATGGTCGGGTTCCCATTGTTCGAGATGCCAAAAGGTGATCACCTGGTATCGCTGTTATGACCTGGGAACTGTTTTTTTTTCCCCATGGTCTGGCTCCCAGTTGGGGTGTTGACTTGAGCATACACAGCTCACTTGCTCAAAGCTGGCCTGTTGACCTTTCGGTTTTCCCATGGGGGGCTCCCATTTGGCTGTGGCTCCAACAAATGGAGCCCAAAATGGCACCCAATTGGCAAATGGCAAAGACGAAATCCTGCGTAACCCATCTCTTTAGTTTTGAGCCAAACCCATTTGTAGAGATGCCAAAAGGGGATCACTTATTTTTCCCCAACAGCTGAAAGCTAAGGAGGCCGGGTGCAAGGTTCAAGTTTGGTCTGCAAGGAAGGTTCCGGAGGTTTCGGGGTGGTCTGGCGCAGGCCAGGTGAAAGGTTCAAGGGAGGTTCTGGAGGTTTCGGGGTGGTCTGGTGCTTGCAAGGTGTAAGGTTCAAGGAAGGTTGCGCAGGTTCCAGGAAGGTTCCGGTGGCTGGCGTATGTCAGGTTTAAGAAGGTTCGGGACGGGCCAGATGTAAGGCTCAAGCAAGGTTCCGGCGGTTCGGTGGCTTTGCGCAGAGGCGCAAGGTTTTTGGGTGGTCTGGTGCAGGCCAGGTGTGTCAGGTTTGAGCAGCTACCGGACATTCCTGTTTGGTTTGGGATTCTGGTGTGAGGCCCGAGCCAGGCTCTGGAGTAGCAGGCTTTGGAGGTTTGGGAGGTATCGGGGTAGTCAGGGGCGGCTCTGAGGTAAGGCTCTTTGCGAGGGTTCTGAGGTAAGGTTTCGCAGGTCGAAACCAGCGCCGCATGCTGTTGGGGATATCACCTGAGCTTATTTCTGGATCCGACATGGGCAGCTGAGGTGACCATCTTGCCGCCCTTGGGCCAGGCCACGAACGAGCGAGCGCTGAGGGTTTGTTTCGGCGTCGCACGGAGTCTCTGGTCGGCGGTCGCCGGGTCGAGTCGGCGTTTCTTCGGGTTTCGGTCATTTTGAGATCCCGCAAAGAAGCTGACGGCGATGTTCAAGGTTCTGGGCGTTGGGAGGGTCCCGGATGGGTGGGGATTGCTGTCGAAAACGCCACCTGGGCATATTTTCCGACAAAGGCACCCATGTTCCACATTTGGTTAAAGCAAGCGAGCAGGTATGCTGGTCATGTAAGACTTTTGATCAAAGATTCCTAAAGGCATGATGGGTCTCTCTAAGGGTACCTTTCCCATTCTTTCCAGGGATCCTTCTTTCTAGGAAACCTCCGGAAATTCAGGGAAACCGGCTGGGTATTGAAAAGAACGATGGTTGAAAAGAATGGGGAGTCAACCCTTAGGACAATGTTATGTTTGGGCGTTAGTTTTGGGCCTCCAGAGTCTCTAGAGTCTCCTCCTACAAAGAATGTGGAATCAGCCTCTAGGGTCTCCTCCTTAAAGCTGTGACGTAGATTTCGGGGAGGCCACCGAACCTGTGGGACTGAGTATGAAGCGGAATCTGAACATGGGTGTGACCATTTTTAAGGGAAAACGCTGAAATTGGCCTTGTGGCTTCCCTTTTGAAAACCACACACAAGTGGTTCCCTTCAACAAAAACACACACCGATATGGCTGTGGGTCAAAACAAATGGTATCATTGTCGGGTAGGTGCACCACCCATTTTAGTCTATTTTTGTGGGGATTGGGATGTTCACTGGGGGTACGGGATTGTGACCCATGGCCATATTAGCTTTTGTTTGGTGTGCCCTATTTTGGCCAGGCCAGTTTTGACCGTGGCTCGCGGTTCTCTCCGCTGCCATTGGCTCAAGGGCTCGTATCACCTTACGCCGGCTCGGCTTAGGAGTGGTCCAGGCAGGCTTGGTCCAAATGTGCGTTGCAACCAACTCAGTTCTCGCACTTCCTGAGTTGGACTTCAGTCACTTGTATGGGTTTGGACCTTTTTTAGTGTTAAAAAAAAGCTCGGCGACTTTTTTGGGGCCAATCCACGGAAGTGAGTTGTTCGAACCCCGCCCAACCTTTTAGTTTCCACCATGTCACTATTTGGCCCACCTTTCGTAAAGGTCCCAAAAGGCTAATTTTTTTTATGTCCGGGCTTCGGGAAACCGAAACCAGACCTTGATCCCTTGTAGCACGAAACTCAAAGGAGCCCAAATCAACAGTGGAGCTGAACACCGTCACCATAGGCCCCTTTTTGGGGATCGGAGCGTGGGTTTTGACAGTCTGGCAATCGCCTTACTTGGGCCTGTCTTGTTGGAGTCGGTACCCCTTTGGTGGTTTTGAATGAGAAGAAAGCCATTTGGCTGTGGCTCAAAATTAAACAGGAGGGGTTACTCAGGTTTTGGTCCATGTTTCCACTTACCAGGGCAACCCTTTTTGGAATTCCGGTTTTTTGAATTCGCCACAGCCATTTGGTTTGTGGTTGTTTTGGGGGCAGCCGCTCAAAAGGACACAGTCATTTGTCTTCAGCTGATCATGGAGCGCGGCAAGTCCAAGCTCTTTGCATGGTTGTCGTTGGGAAACATTTGTTACCTTTTTTGCTTATTGTGGTTTAGTGGTCGAAATCCCCACTTAGCCGCTAAAATCTAAATTTTGCTCCCCTTCCAACGTCAACCAAGTTTGTATGGTTTAAGCCCTGGTTATGGTTTGTCAAAGGGTTCAGACACTGAAGCCTCTCAGGTGTCACTCATGTCGAAGCGGACTCTCGACTGCGATTTGGTGCTGATCTTCGCCTCCAACTGCCCAAAAGCCAGCCCAAGCGCCCAAGCATCTTGGGCCCTCAGAAAGGCTTTTTGGAAGTCCAAAACCTTCCAATGGAGGTCCTTCCTCTTTGGATGGGTCCAATGCTGAGGCTTAAATCTTCAATGGCCCCGCAAATAGTAGGGCTGTTTCCTCCAAAAGTGGTCTGAATCCCTCCAGAACAAGACCTATGAATCACCAAGATATTTTTATCAATCCGTGCTCGACATGCTCAGCACAAGCCCAGCAACTGCTTTTTGGACAGTATTAAGGGGATTTTTGGATACCGCTGAAAAAGCCGGCAAGTTGGGGGAGGGGGGGTGGGGGGCGCTGCTTTTTGTTCACTCATCAACAGTTCAGACGGTGAGTCACTGGGCTTCCCCTCCAAACGTCGATCAATTTACTGTAAATGTCCATAGCGAGCGCCACTTTTGGAGGTCCCAGAAAGGGGAAATTGAGGAAACTCTGGTTTCAGCCAAAGTGATGTTTGTTTTTGTTGGGCGGGGGGGGGGGAGATTCCCTTCCAAATCCACCAAGCCAACAAAGACGACAAATTGAGAGACCCCTAAACCACAAGTTTAGACCTCCAATCCACTGCAGCGAGAGAACCTTTCTCTGATTTGCCACCATTTGATCAGATAATTATCATGATCGGTCCGGAAAAACAAACGACGCATCCCCAAAATACTCCGCCTCCAGGGCATGTATTCGGGAGGAATAGGGACCAAAACCCTGTAAAGCGAATGTGACCAACCAAAACCACGAAAACTCAGACTTTCTAAGGACATCTAAAGACCATCTAACAACCAACTTCAACACCCACTGAAAACCAACTAAAACGCAACTTTAAAGCCACCTCCAGAGATATTCCATGGTTGCACCATTTGAGTTTTGGAGATGGCTCAACTGCGAGGAAAAGGATTACCTCCAAGCGCCCGGACTTGCGGGGCGTGTATGGAAAGCCCATCCGGAAGGCCAAGACCAAGGCGGGGGCCGGTCAGTGCGTCGTCTCCGAAAAGGGGACCGAGCAGTCTATATGGACCAGAAAAGCCAACTTTGTACAATCCCCGTTTACAGCCTCCATTTATAGGTCTTTACCCATTGTATGGCCTCTGCTTCTCGCCCATACTTTCAATGGTCTTTGGAAGCATAGGGGTCTATATGGTTCTTTATGTCTTTCTTTAGGAAGCTCCGACATGGGAGAGGGTGGTGTTAAGGGAAGCTCAACACGGAGGTCAATATCTAAGCTTGATGTATCGTCCAAATGATGGTTGTTGGGAAACTTTTTTTACATTTTGGTGTTTTGTGGTTTAGTGGGTAAAATCTCACTTAACTGCTAAAAAATGAAATTTGTGATCCCTGTCCAACGTCAACCAAGATTTCGTAAGGAAACGTTGGACTTTAACTTTTTGGTTGTTGCAACAGTGGAGTTTCCATACTGAAAGTTGATTTTTTTTTTTGCAGGGGTCAAAAGCAAGCAAGACTAGTGACCCCCAAACTGGTGGGGCTTCAGTGCCCTTTGAAAGGGTACTCCCCCGGTCCACATGGAACCCACCAGAGGGTCGATTTCAAAATCAGAAACATCAAGTTGTACAATCAGTAGCAGTTGCCCAGTGGCACCGTTTGCTTCTCTGTTGAGGGTGTGCTTCTCAGTTAATTCAGCCAAAGTGGGTGGGCCACAAGTCTGATCGTCAAATAAGCATTCCTCGCTTCGTGCCGTTTGAGCTTAATGTCGACCTCAGGTTGACAAACCGGTTTTAGGAATAATGGGGGTTGAAAGTGATGAATCCCCACTAAAAGGGGACACCTCTCATTTCAGTTAACCAGGGGTTAACACTACATGTCCCTCGTTTTCAGGGACAAATCTGGCCATAACATCAACCCTGGCGTTCACTTGCCACCATGAAAGCAATGCTTGGGTTCACATAGCCGGCATTGTTGACTCTTCAGGACTTGTCGGCATTGTTGACTCTTCAGGACTTGTCAACGTCTAAGGTGCCCCAAGGGCAACATTTTCACATACTTGGTTCACGATTCCGTGACGTGACGTGCCAACAAGCTTGCATCAGATTGGCGGCACGTGATTTCCTCCATGCCCCGAAATTTGGAGCCAACGCTGGCACGTTCAATGGAACCCAGCTGCACATTGATCTCAGCTTTGGATTCAGATCGGCTTTGAAGCAAAGGCCCCCAGAACTGGGCTTATGTCGAGGTTGCGGCCGACTGTTTCCCTTAGCTTCCTGCCCTTTTAGGGTCTTCAGGTAAAGCTGCGTTTTACGGACCTGTCAAGAAAGTCAAGGCTGAGGAAGTTCGCTTCAGAGTTGTTAAGGAACATGCGTATAAACTTTGGCGCATTGTGCTTGGATGTCAGGACCTTAACTTTTTGCCAACTAATGGGTTTTCCATCAAACCACTAAAAAAAAACTGTTAGCAGGGGAGCAGAAAGCAACCGTGTAACTATGCGATATTTTTGTAGAGCAGCTCACTGGACTTCAGTCATTCTGGGAGAACCATTTTGGTGTCAAGCAACAAGTTTGGGGCCTGTCCCAGCCCATCCACTCGTTCAGAAATGCCGGTTTACTTTTCTGTCAAGCACCAGCAGAAAGGCCCGTTGTTCCATGCAGATGCAAAAGTTGCTGCTGCGAAACCTGCAAGCGACGAGAAAGTTCCGAAAAGCTAACAGCTTGTGAAGATAATTTGCAGCTGACACGACTTGTACCAAGTCGCCACACGGAACTTACTTTGTCTAGGTCCCCCATTGGTGCCCTTCTACCATTTTTTTGGGTAGGGTTCCCCTACTAAAATAGACAACGGAAAAAAAAAGTACTCTCTACTGGAGGACCTAGTTGTTTTACCTCATGATTTCAGGCCTTTGAACAGCCCTTAGGGTCCAAGGGGCTCGTATAGGGTTACTACTACAATTATTACCTCTTGCCCTTTAGGTGTTCCATGTTTTCTTCGCAATTCCGTGGTTGTCCATGAATTCTCCCCCGCAAATCTGTGAGATGAACTACCTTTTTTATGGCTAGTTCTTTGTCCAGGTCCCTTCCCCCCGCGTTCCCAGATTTTCTTCGCAGCCACCGTGTGGTTCAAAGAATACCTGTTCCCTTTTCTTCGCCACCACGTGTTTTTCCACAGAAGATGTGTTCCCAGATGTTCTCGCAGCCACAG